AGACCTGTCGCAAAACGGTGGTCGAGTTCGGCCCGCCAGCAGAACATGAGTCAGCGCACGAGGCCGGCGCTTCACAGGACCGTCACCAGGCCTGTCGCGCGACGGTGCATGGGACTGTGGTAGAGGTATGTTGTCGGCGGTTGTGCTCTAATTTAAACGTAGATAATTTGAGTCAGGGAATTTTTGCAAAATAGATATGGATTTCGAAAACGTGAATATCTCACTTTTCAGAGACTGCTCTGACCTATCAATTCAGATGGTGATTGAGCCTGAGCCGTTTTCATGCGTTCTGCAGTACTGCAATCAGCCTTAGATGCAAAGTCTCACCGATTACTGCGTACATAACGGATGTTGCCGCCATGCGGAAGGCCCATTAACACAACTACGGCTCTCGTTGGTTTGGCGCCTGTGGCTGCTCTTTCATATATGAAGGCCTCGACAATTATATTTTTCTTGGACTCGATCGCCGCATGGCTTATGGAATGGGGATATTTGAATGACGTTATTATGACGCTATGAACACCATGGTGACTTAGAAATACTCTTCCCGTTAAACCTCTCCTCATTTTCGCGGGCGTGAAGCTCAGAAACCAACGAGCCTTAGGTCTTAAGAAGGACAGGATTGTAGACGGCACTGAAAGGTCTTCAAGATGGCTACGCCAGTTTAAAACCCACTACGAACGTGGGACACTCCCTTTAAGGAATCAGTTTGCGACAGATAAGATCTTTTTGAAATGTTCACTGTGTGTTTGATGTTACAAAGATAAAGCATACAATTATTTATCCAAGCGCCACATCCTAAGGCTATCTATATACTTCCCCTTCTACCTTTAACCCGAACTGCTTCTACCTTTCCACAGAATCGGCATGTTTACTCTGATCCCCGTGTCCTATTTATGTATTTATTATAGTTTGCGATGCTCTAGCAGTGTTTTTAGGATTTGTCTGACAGCAATACTTTTTGTAACTTGCTGCTAAAACAGAAATGTCAGCTCTTACATGTGCATCAAGTAGCAAAACCATTGCACCAAAAAAACCCTTATTAGTAAACGCATTAGCCGTCAATCTCGGAACATTGTTTTCTGCGACCATTTTTGTTTTTCATTCCGCGGTATTTGCTGTAATCGAATTTATGTTTAACATGAAGAGCTTATCATTTTTTTGAAATTAAAGTATTTTATAAGTTTAGTATGCACTGTTTAGCATTCATAATGCACTGACACCCACATCTGTCTTCTCATCTGGCAGCTGATGGCCTACGGAAGTCGGTGTTTCAGTCAGAAAACATCTTGGCGGCCCGCCCAAATTCAGCAAGCAAGGTGAACAATCAGTGGATGGACGCAGTGGGCTGCCCACCACACCGTCTGAAAGGAAGCGTTTGACCTAATGTTGTAACGAGAATTAACAAGAACTCGTGGGTGTGCAAGAACAACAAACGTTTTGAGTATCATGCTGACTGCCATTTAACCGACTATATCTAGAGAAATGATTGCATTTCATAGAGGAGACTGGCTTTTATGCAGCAGTCGACAGTTGGGTGATAATTCCTTCCGTTCGTCTGCTCTTAATATGCACCCATGATAAAACTTTGCCGTTAAAGGAATGTTCCGCATCAGATATTGAATCAAGCACCAGATATGATGAAATAAGTTCACTTATAACTGAGGGTATATTTTTGACTGGAAAGACTGCTCTAGGCAACACAATTTCTGTTTAGTAAATATGTTCCTTAATAAGTCATTGTTGGATGATGTCATTATACCTTGCACAACATTGATTTGAGTCAACTGACTGCCATTATATCTGAGAATCCTGCTCACTAACGCCAGATATGAACGACTCGACAATGATATTTTGTTTTGCATTGGTCGCCACATGGCTAATGGAATGACGGGATTTGCATGGCATTATTATGGCGTCATGGGTGCTTGGATAGCCTCGAAATAGTTTTGAACCAGTCTGCACATCTTTGCGGGCGTGTGCCTCAGAAACTGGAGGGGATTAGGTCTTGAGAAGAACAGGGCCGTGAACTGTACCGATTCATCTTCAAAATGGCCAATTCAGTTCAAACTCCATACAAATGTGGAACACTCCCTTTGGGTCTCCTTGGCTCGAGGGCGAACCTCCTGGGGTTCTTTACTTTCGTCAGAAAATGTTAGGTTTGACTGACACCCAGTAAGCTGTGCATTTCATAACTTCCTTGTTTCTTTTCTCAGCTGGAGATTTTAGCTGCCGAGAAGTGCGCGCTACTGGTCAAAAAAGGCAAACGCTGGTAAGGTTTCAGGTATGTTCTTCTATTACGTACATCATTTTGTCGCCTTTCTTTTCTGATTGGGACCAAAAAGAAGACGGCGAAATAACACCAGGGTGAATGTGTTTTCCAAAAGACTTTCGACTCAACACGTTTCGGTCAGTTGTCCGGATGCCAGCTTTGGAAAGCTTGAGTCGTGTTCAAACGCCGTCGCCGGCAGGCGGAATATCTACCCTGATTAGTCAGTGTGATTGCGATTGGCCTTGTTGGCTTTCCTGATGAAGGCATGCCACGTGCATATCTGGCATTTGTGAGGTTTTGTAGAGACTGAACGCCCATGGTGCTGCGTTCCTTACACTGACCATCCTGCATCCTGTATCCTGCTGCAGATCATACTTGTAGTTCATAAGGAATTTTTCTTTTCAAAAGCTAACCGACGTTCTCTGAATTTGATTATATATATATATATATATATATATATATATACGGCTATTTCAGAAGCGTCGTGTTCACGCGTTTATTCCGTCGCAACCCGTGTATTTTTTCGAAGGCAGACTGCAGAAACAGCGCCTGCTGTGCCACATGTGTGGCTTTCAGTTCACCAATTCCAGAATTTCTCAGCATTTTCGACGTCACCACAAGATAACGGATGATGAAAAGCTGAAAGAAGCAAAACAGGACATAGAAAAGTTTTCTAACGACCTTGCGACGAGGTACTCATTACACACGCACGCACTAACACCTTCCGTCTGACGAGCGCACGTGCGCACGCACGCACGCACGAACGCACGACAGGCAGCCAGATAGAGACGTTCATATATATATATATATATATATATATATATATATATATATATATATACATATATTGTTATCTCCTTTGCCCTAGTGGCTCTCGAAAACAACGCTCTTGCACAAAGGTCATCGGGATCAAGGCCCTTCCATCTGTACAAGGTCATAAATAAAGTTGAGAGCAGTTTTGAGCGCCTTCGTAACGCTTCTATCGCATCTATTTGCGGCCTTTTTACGTTTTATGAACCGATCTTGTGCTTGATGTTATTCATACCCATACTAACATTCACATATCGATAACATCCGATGCATGGCTGGGCGCAAAATGGCCTGACTTCCGACGACAAAATGACCATCGACGCCCTTAAGCACTAATCACCATCACCACCATCTGATGTATACTACCATCACGCCGACCTCGGATGTTGAAGGAACATCTGAAGGCGAAGTGATCCCGCCTTAACGGAAGATCCCGCCTTAGCTATTTTACCACCCCTGTAGTGACATTCATGAAACTAGGCGTGCAAAAAGCGCATTTTCAGGCCTTGGAATGCTATGTTCGATAACGAATAGTCCGAACTATTGAATAATATATTTCGACCCAGCATTTCACTTTTTAAACAATTAATATCCTTCAAGCTCATTTAAAGCATTTCAAGCGTAAACTGAGTCATTCTAAGACAAATATCTGTTTTAAGTTAGTCGGGTGCCAAAAAATCAGGATCCTGCTTTTGACATCTCTAATTCCATAACTGGTGTCAATAACCATAATGGCTTCAAACTTGGCGCACGCACGTACCATCATGATTTATTTCACATCCATCCCGAATTTGTGAAAATGATTAAAGTGCGGGTCAGGTAAGCGAGGTAAGTATTTAAAATATTTCGCTTTTACATGAAATAACGTGAAAATTCGAGGTAATACTTGAAGCGTTTCCCCGTGTAATGTATCTGTGTTGACCTTGTGTT